ATGGAGGCAATTTCTCAGTTGAGCCTCCCTCCTCTCCTGTGACTAGCTCAAGACGGACAAGGGCCAGCAGTCTAGCGTTCAAAAGAATCCCCTCAGAGCACAGAGTTCACCCAGAATGCTAATTTCTAAAACTGAAAAACAAGAAAAGCAAGATTAACACTCCTCAATAATAAAAGTTTAAGCCTAGAATGCTTTTGATGTCAAAGACGGGAATGTAAATACCGTGTTTTTAAAAATAGCTATTCTACACCTACAATCCCAGCACTTAGGAGATAGAGGCAAGAGGATCAGAAGATCAAGGTCATCTTCAGCTATATGGCACATTTGAGGTCAGCTGGGCTATGTAAGATCTCAAAACAAACAAACAAACAAACAAACAAATAAATACCACACACAAAACCACAAAAATATACTTAGTTATTTTATTCATTTGCTGTAAGCAAGCCTATAGGGTGTTTTCTTAGTGATTGATATAGGAGGGCCCATGCTCACTGTGGTTGTGCCATCAAGTCACGAAGAGCAAGCCAGTAAGCAGCACCCCTCCACCGCCTCTGCATCAGTCCTGAGGCAGGTTCCTGTCCCACTTGAGTTTCTGCCCCCACTGCCTTCGATGATGGACTATGATATGGAAACAAAGTTGCATATGGGCATGGTGTTTCATCACTGCAATGGATACCCTAAGACAATTGGGTAAAGCTTCTTATCCAGTCAGAGCATGTCAACCATCGGCTATTTTGCACATGAGTAAGGAGCAGGTTTTTGGAAGGCATTCTTCTGAAGAACAATGTGGAAGGCTGAAGCTTGCTACATGGGGTCGCTGGTACAATACATACAAGTCTGGAAATGACCGCCAAGGCAGTGATGAGCCAGTACACAATCTGAAAACGGTCCTGCAAAAGCCTGATTATCAGGTGATTACAAAGCCAAACTCAAGGTAATTCTCTAAAACTTACTACAGAGCAGCTGTGAGGAGTGTTACAGACTGCAACTGGTGCCTCATCAGAGCCTGAAAAAGTCTGTGAATCTTCATTATATAGTCCAGTGTGACCTCAAAATGCTTAATCTTGTTTTTCAAGGTTTTCAACCTTATGAATATTAAAAACATGAACTGATCATACATTAAAGTAACATATCAATAAAGATTTCAAAAATCAAGAGCTATTTAGTATTTACAGTATTTTCATCAATTGATTTAAAATCCTTCAAAAAACAGGCATAGTGGGTGGCTTGTGCCTTTAATTCCAGCACTCAGAAGGCAGAGGCAGGATGGTTTCCTGTGAGTTTGAGGCCAGCCTGGGCTGCACAGTGAAACTGTATTTCAAAAGGCCAGAGACTAAAATGTGACTTAATTGTGCAGTAATTGCCTAACAGGCACAAGGCCTAGTTTATTTGTGGCACACATGCATACACATATAAGCACACAGGGGACATAGCTCAGTGGTCAGGCACTTGCCCAGTGCACATAAGGCTAGGCATTTAAAGCCCAGTACTGAAAAAATAAATAAAATCATAAAAATGAACATACACTACACATGCTGTCTTCATAAGTGAATGGCAATGACTTCCCCCATCTTTCTAAAATGGCTGACTCATTTAACTAACAACACAGTGGATCAGTGTTCTCAACCTCTGCCTGCCTCGGCTGCATTCCTCCATGATAGGGGATGGATGTTGGCATGAATTCTATACTCTCAAAGGGATTTCACAATGCAACAGATAAAAGCAACTGGTGTTATGCAGGTTTCCCAAGTCCCCACCTATTATTCCACTTGCTGTAAAGATGTTTTCTCAGCACTTAATATTTGTCAAGCACCCGGGTGCACTGCATATAGCAAACAACTTAAACTCCCGTGGGAGCCTCTGAGGACCATAATAAAATGACCCTCTACTTACCTGAGGACGACAAGGCACGGAGTTTAAGGAACAAGATCACACAGACAGTAAATGACAGGCCGTGGAATCAAATTGGGTTTATGTTCTGACACACTTTATTCCAAATGCACAGGGGGAAAACATTATCATACAAAGGACTTGACCTAGCATACTGTATATGCTATTCATAAACTGCATCTTGTAATTAAAAGTGACAGGACTTCAGTGGCTGGGTGGTCTGTGTTCTGTACTGCATGGATCTTAAGGTTTTAACAAGTTCACCTGCCTTTACCTGCCTGATCCTTTACCATGTTCCCTTTCAGAATTAGAAAGAGTGAAAACTCAGCTTTCCTATTACTTTTCAGTGGAATGTGGTTCACCCTAAGATTACATGGTTTTGGGAGAGCCGCTGACAGACAGCATCAGTCTTCTGATGTGAAATCTCCTTTACTGAAGAAGGAGTGCCCATTTGGAGAACTAGTTAAAACTGATTAGAAGTTTTAAGTACTTCTAAGCACGCCAGATATAAAAATGAAGCTCACCTTGAACTTTATTTTTAGAGCTGCACTAATTAGAACTAACTTAGACTCTTAAAGGCCTCTCTTCCTTGTATAAAGGATCTACGGCAGAAAAGCGATTTATGAATCACAGTGTATGCAGCTTCGTGAGTGACAAAGGTTGAACAGAAAGAAACAGCAAGAAAGCTATACCAAAGACAATTTCCTGGGAAAATAATCTCTTTTCGCTTCTGCCATGTTTTCTTCAGCAAGGAACTTCCTAATGGGTAGACTAGTTCCGAAAATCAAATTTAGTTAAAATTTAAAAATCTGAGAGTGACTGCAATTAACCACCACCCCCCCTTTTTTTCCATAGCCGCCATACTAGACACTATATAAAGACAAAGATGTGCAATGCCACCTACAGGGGACCTTTGGAACTACAGTCCTACTTCTATGTCCCCAACTGGGGGTAAAAAACCCTTACTCATCACATTTAACCAGAAAGCTTGAGGAAGTGGTGAAAAGAAGTAGAAGACCCACCACCACTTTGTCCTTCACTTAAATAATAAGTAATCAAAACCAACCCAGTGTTACCAACTATTATCCACAGACAGAAATGGGAGAAGAAACACAGTTAGGCAACCAGAGGCAGAACACGGAGGAGACTCAAGTCATTGGTGATGCTACCTGCAATTTGACTCTTTGAACTGTAGACTCCCTTCCCGAGCCTACATTTCGGGCACACAGGTTCAGCCTCACTCTGCAGGACTGTCCACTCTAACCTGGACAAAGCACTTCATTTGTAAATGCTCTCTTCTCTTCTCTAGCCTCCCCCTTGGGAAGTAGACTCAGGTTTCTTTATGGTAATGGTTCTCAATTTAGGAAACATTAAAGCTATTTGGAGTCCCTCAGTAACACCACACCTGTTTAAACCGGCTAGACTGAAGCTTGAGCATAGCATAGCTTTTGGCTTCTGCTTGCTTCCAATTTTCCAGGTGACCTCACTGTGTGGCTGGTTTAAGACACTTCTTCCTATGCCAGGCAGTGGGGGCTCACACCTTTAATCCCAGCACGTGGGAGGCAGAAGCAGGCAGATTTCTGAGTTCGAGGCCAGCCTGGTCTACAGAGTGAGTTCCAGGACAGCCAGGGTTATACAGAGAAACCCTGTCTTGAAAAAACTAAAAAAAAAAAAAAAAAAAAAAGAAAGAAAGAAAGAAAGAAAGAAAGAAAAAGACTTTTGCAGAGCTAGGAAGTTCCTGGTTTCCCAGTTGTAGGACAGCTAGGGCTACAGAGAAACTGTCTCCAAACACCAAAACCAAAACCAAAACCAACAAAAACCCCAAAACTTACACTGGAAACAAAAACAAGACAGTACAGGGCTGCAATCTCTTCCCAGGTGACTTCCACATACATTCTGGTGTAAGTGGTGATAGTGCCGCCACCCACAGCAACAAACCTGCTTGTTCAAGAGGATCCCAATTCATCTCTAGCATTTTCCCTAGACACTAGCAATTACTTGAAGCTGGACAGCTGGTATATTGGTTGATGCCCAGCTAGTGGCATTACCTCATTCATCTGTTGCATCTGCTATTTGAGATATGGTCATGTTCCTGTGTGTCCCAGAATGGCCTTGGACCCATGATCCTGCCTCTACCTGCAGCTCTCCCTGGATGCACACATTGCTGCTAAGTCTTCCTGCCCCCAACTCACAGATCAATTCCCAGGCTGGCAGATCCTCTACCCTCTGCTTCAGTGCTCACAGCAGCTGTTCTGCCCCAAGCTCTGGTCTAAACCAGCCAAGTTTCTCCCTGAACACAAGCCCAAGCAAAGATATTGGTCTCCCCTTCACCTTCAGCAGATGAGTTTCTCCTTAGGCCCTTCTTCTGGTGGGTCCCAACTACAGGGCCTTGTTCATCAAAAGGCCTAAATGTGCCCAACACTGAACTCTTCCAAAATAGTGGTCCTCCCAGGCTTCCGTGTGGAATGCAGTAGGCACGAAGGGTGTTCTTTCAAGGGTGCCCTTTACTTAAGTTCTACGGTAGAGCTCAGTGTTGGTCTCACTCCAGAACTGGGAGTTTTAAGATCCCACTTCATTCTGTTACAAATTATGTAGCTCTAGTCTGTCACTCCCCTAGGTCAGGTCCCCAGAGGCAGTGATTGTGGAAGGACAGGTTAAGGAGTGGGTCTAGCTAGCAGGGAGGAGGGGAGGCAAGCAGGGTGTGGTTCCCAGGAAGCCAGTACTGAGCTGCTGTGTGGGTTAAGCCGGCTGGACTACACATGAAGAGTAGAGTTGGGGAGCGTGTGGGAAGGGCGTGAGAATCCAAGAGGTCTAAGCTAAGTGCCCACTCCAGTTCCATGATACAGAGCAAGCTGTCGTCTAAGCTGCTGCTTGAAAGCAGCGCACATTCAGCCTCTGCCTGCCTGGGGCAAGCTGCTTCAAGAGGTGCCATGCACAAAGTATTTTGAAAACGTAACAGCAAGCAAGCTTTAAAAGACTGAAGAAAGCATCGTTCTGAACTCATTCTTGTCTCCAAGTCTCTAAATGTAGCTGCCGCTACTTTGTGGAAAGCAGCTGCTCACTATGAGCGATCATCTCTTCAGAGACGTCTTGGAAGCAGAGTCACAAAGTTTCAAAAAACGATGTTTATTTCAGCATATAAAGTGTGCCATCTAGCACCAACGACTGTCAATTCCAGAATTCCATCTGGTTATTACTTTTTGGAATGTGGTGTTCAAGACATTGACATATTCGTCTATGTGAGCAGATGATTATTGGAACAAAAGTTGGAAACAACACAGTAGAAAGCATTTGATAAATGTACACAGAATTTCATTTAAATATGATGTCAACATCAGTAGCTTAAAATCAGATTTTCTTGGATCGAATACACAAGAAAAACTCCCAGAGCCACGCGAGCACAGAAGCCTGCACTGGCTTCTCCTCACACCTCCCTCTGAGACAGCACCTGCTCCCTGTCTCCTGACTTATCTTCTTAGTGACCAGCTACAGCACCCCAAACTCTAGTTCACTCACCTACCTGTGATAGCCAGTAAAGGTGCAAAACATATTTTCAGTTTCTTTTTGAAGAACATGTAAGTATTAAACATAACACAAGGGAAACCAGACAAACTAGTGCACAATTATGTAAGTGAGACTGCCTTTGAACTTTAAAGACAGAATTCACGGCTTCCACCTTAAACAATAGTATATAAGAGATGCTATCACTGGAAGCCAGATTGGATCAACTTATCTATAGTTTTAGGTTTTTTTCTTCTTTCTCTCTTTCTTCCCTCCTTTCCTCTCCTCATCCTTCCCTCCTTCCTTGGAGACAGTCTTATTATGCGTGGAGCCAGCTTGCTCTGTAGACCAGGCTGGTCTGGAACTCAAGAGAGCCTCTGTCTCCCCAGTGCTGGTATTAAAGGCATACACCACCATGACACCAGCTCTCAGAACATTACTATACAGTAATAGATGCCATTAGAAATTGAATCAACTTATTTCTAAGTTTCCTGAAAATGAACCATGCTGCTTCAGACTTGAGGCTACCCTTAAAATTAATTTTTATTTGAGTGATTGTCAATGTTTCTTTTAAGCAGAACTTGATGCTGAGCTAAGTAAGATTTCAAGCCCACGGGCAGGCAGGCATTTCACACTGTGGGTAGTCCACAGTAGTTGTCATCCATGAACCAGATCTCTAAGGACATGCTGGAGAAATCTGTAACGCAATCTTCCATGCGATATGCACATGCTCTGTTCACATCTTTACCTTACCCAGGATGTTGAGGGCATGGCTAAGATGGAAAAGGGTTTCATGATGGCGGTTTCTATAAGGAAAAGGGGGGGGGAGTTTAAACATTAATTTTACAACACCAAGTAGTCACTAAATACACTTCAAGAGAACTATGTACAATGTATACAGACAGTTCTTAACTGACATCTAAAAGCAATCAAGAAGAAAGCAGATGTCTGAATAGTATCACAATTAAAAGCCTCTGTATGGCAAAAACTACAGTATCATATAAAATTTAAGACACCTACAGAATAGGAGAAATTTGTAAATTACACATCTGGTAGCAATTGGTAAAGGACTCATAGAATGTCTAAGACAGCACAATTTAAAAACAGGCATATATTTCTCTAGTGACACAAGAAGATGTTGAATATCATTAATTAAGAAAAAACCTGCAATTAATCCTATACCTCATCTGCTACAACAGCTACCATGAAAAGGACAGACAGTAACAAGTGTCGTGAGCATATAGCAGCGATGGAGCCCTCGCACACCCATGGTGGGAAGGCAGATGATACCAGCTGATGAACAAATGTGTGGATTGACCAGGGATGTGACCAGACACAGAAAGGAGTATAAGGCGAGGTATGCAACATGGAGGAACCGGAAAACATTTTGCTGAATGAAGACAGCGAGATGCAGAAGAATACAGGACGAGATTAGACTTGTAAAGTGCACGCAGAATGAACATCGTGGACTGAAAGCTGGCAGCATTTCCTGTCTGGTAATGAAAACACTTAAAATACAGCCCAGGAGACTAAAAACCCCCAGACATGTGCTTTGAAAGGGTGAATTTTATGGTATGAGAATTGTATCAATTTAAAAAGGAAATAGGTCTTTGCGAAAACAAAACAACCCTTTATATTCAGAAACATAAAAAATAGTTATGCCTCAAAAAATTCTACTTTGAAAACTGTGCAGCAGCTTCAGCGAACACTGCATCCTCTAAGGCACAAAATATATTTCCTTTGCCTTTTCAGCATGTTCCACAGGAATCTGAATTATAACCCTCTTACCTTTTTTCCTTAGACTGAGTTTTAACCCCCATTCCTGGTCCCCCAAACTGTGTTTCTGGCTAGGATCCTTATCATTAGAAAGTATGATGAGCCAGGTGTTCACTGTTCAATCACAGCAAAATCGTCAGGAAGTGGAACACACTAGATTTTAGTGTCATTAGTGAAACCGATGTCTCTGCCTTACGGCCCTAACATCTACAACCGAGCATACAAGACTCGCCCTTCTACAGGCTGGAACTGCAGGTGCAATAAAGACGAGCTACTAAAAAGCGTTATGGCAGGAAGACAACCAGATGGGAATACACATCAAATTCTATTCAATTGGGCTTCTTTTCTTCTACATGTCAGACTGCCCACTTTCCTTTTAAAAAGGAAAATGAGAATGACCAAAGTTCAGAAGTTACAATTGGCCTTTAAAAAAGTTAGAAGAAAAATCACTTGAGGTACTGTTCAATGCCATAGTTTGGAAAAATGCCCCTCCATGAGGCACTGTGAGGAGCATTGGGAACACTGGTTATATATATAACTATATATACGTATAATTATATGTATGTATACATATGTATATTTGTATATACATTGTATATACATGGTATATAATGCCCATAAGGACCAGCTTTGGACCCTGTTCCCCCTTCCTTTTGTGTCCAGGTCCCCTCTGCTGTACTCTTGCCATTATTTACAGCTTGCTCACAGACCCCACAGTAAGGCCATCCAAATCCGGGACTCGAAGGAACCAAGATAAACTTTTCTGTATCTCATTGTCATAGAGTAACTGCTCACGGACATTCTCAGTTCCTCAGCCGCTTGATTCATAACTGAAAAGGACTTTAAAGAGGCCTTGGGGACTTAGCTGGGAGGCAGACAGCTTGCCTATCACAGGTAAGGCCAAAGGTTCCTTTCCCAGAACGGCAGAAACAAAGCCAGCCTTACATAATTTCTGATACAGTGTCCCACTGTAGCCCAGCCTGGCCTCCAACTGCATAGCCTTCCACTTCTCGAGTTCTGGGATTATGACCAAGAACCCAAGGCAAGACAATGAGTGATGGAGATACTGCGTGTCAGTCAGAACAGCCCTTTCACACGTGTGGAGGTGACAAACCTTACCACAGTTTAGTGCACAGGCCAAGAACCAGCTTACGAAATCAGATACGAAGAACTGTGAATGCACGTACTGGTTTTTTCTTTCTGATGTATACAATATGAATGTCTTCACTTCGGTATTCTTCATCATGTTTGTCCAAAGGGATTTCTTCAAAGTCAAAGTCTAGCTGCAGGAGCTATAAGTTTGAAGAACATTTCTGTTAAATTCAGACCAACTGGTAAGAGCAACGTGGAAGCCTTCTCAAGTTTGGAAATGTTCTGTATCTTTATATTGGAGCAGTTATTCGGATGAAAAACTCATGAGCTGAGAACCTGATATATGTGCACTGTACATGTTTTAAGTAAATATGAATCACTTAAATTTTTTAAATTATAATTTTAAAAGTTGAGTAACATTTTCTCATAGTCATGAAAAACATAGATTATAATATTTAATTAATAATGTAATAATTAAGCATATTTATATATTATAGCATATAGCATATATTACCCGAGGGAGTCATATAGTTGTTTTTGTAGCCCTTTCAGCAAATAGAATTTCAGGACTACAGATACAGCTTCAAAATGAGCCAGTTTTTAGTAGGTTCCATTTGTGCCCATAAAAGGGTATGGGTCCCATGTAGGGGGAGAATGAAGAACATAACTTTAAAAACAAACATCAAAACCCTGGAAATCACTACTTATGTAAAATAAAAATATACAGGAAAAGACACAAGTAAAATTCACCCCCTCTACATTTAAAATACACCGCTGAGAAGCTCCCCCAAGTGTCCTGTGTGTAACAGCGTTGAAAACCGTCTCAGAAGACAAGCCTGTCATCAGGAGCCCCTCGAACCGTACAGTAGAACAGTGTTAACTGTGAGAAAAGCCAGCAAACTTGGACTGGCAAGGTCAGAGAACGTGGGCTCTGTGAGGAGGGCTGTGGAGAATGTCTCCCTGGGATCTTATCAAGAGAATGTTTCTCCCAAATCAAACTGCCTAAAATACTGCAGTGACCACATCCAGCTCCCCCAGAGGGTAACTGCTACAAAGACGGACCTAACAAGATACTCACCTCAAAATACTTCTTCTCTATTTCTGGATTTTTCCCCATTGTACGTTGTTCGTAACAACATATAATACAAGTTTCCGATCCACTGAGATCTTTTAATGTTTTCAGCAATGGTTCCAAGGACTATTAAAAAAAAAAAGGTATAATTTTCAGTTTATTACGTCAAGAATTTCCTATTACAGAAAGGGGGTCAGGAGGCGAAGAGCTCATGCCTTTGAGTCAAACCATTCTAAATCAACACAACAAAGCACGGTTCTCAAACTAGAGTGGTAGACAACTACTGACTAACCAATAATTATACTTATTTCTATTTTAAAAAAGAGAGAGACAGAGAGACACAGAAAGAGAAGAATCCTAAAGATTATACTTGTTTCTTCAGGAAAACAAGAACTGACTAGTGTCTTTTTTGTTTGTTTTGAACAAGGGTCTAGTTATGTAGCCCAGGCTGGCACTGAACTTGCAATGATCCTATTTCAGCCCCCAAAGGGCTGGGGTTACACAAGTTGTACCATCACATCTAGCTAAACTCAAGTCTTACAAGTCTAATTTCATTTCATCTAAGCTAATGTGGTATTTAAACAATCAATACACAAAAGTAAGCCTGACCCTAATGGTTTAAACTTTATTTTTGTTATTTTAATTATATGTATGTGTTTGTCTGTGTGTAAGTATGTGCTAGTGCCTCCAGGGGCCTGAAGAATTGGATCTCCCTGGAGCTGGAGTTACAGGGGGGTGGGGGGTCTGTGAGCTGCCTGATGTGGGTGCTGGGAATTGAACTAGGATCTTCTAGAAGAACAATGTGTGCTCTTAACTGCTGACTCTCAGTTGAACATCAGTTGGCTCAAGGCACTAATTTAAAATTCAAGTACTGTCCAACACTGTATAAACTGATATGTAAAGAAAATCATTCCAGAACTCTAATAACAAAATCTTGTCACTGAGAATTAACTAGTTAATTAATTTTGGAGAGTCTTTGTGTGACCCATGCTGGCCTGGCATTCATGACAATCATGAATGCTAGGATTCTAGGAGTGAGCCGACTTGCATTTTAATTAACTTTCAATATCATGGTTAGCAGTCAATGGGACAAGATAAGAAAAAAAGAAAAACGAACAAAAACAAACAAACAGAAGGTATCTTAGTTTTCCGGAATATATCCAAATCGGAAAATCCTTTTAAAATTTTACAAAAAGCCTGAAAACATGAAAGTTTTCTCAACCACCACTCACAGGCCTATATGCTTATCCTGAATTGTATGAATGCGTTGCCCTTGATAATTTATCTTCTCTTTACTGCCTCTCATCCTCAGAACAAATATCCCACAGCTGGAAGTGTTAAACCATGGAGACCTGTGGGCTTCTGGACACACCCGTTCACTACTAGCCAGCTCTGTACTCACCGCCTCATAGTATATACAGTCTGCCATCAATATGTAGTCTGGTGACGTCAAGTCTTCTATGTCTTCACCCCTTAAAAATGTCAAACATATGTCTTTAACTGATGCTCCGACGATTTAGTGTTCATTTTAGAAACGAGCAGCAGAAAGTTTCCCTCATATTAAGCATGCGTTGTGCAAAATGCAATTTAAAGCATATGTAAGCGGTTATCTTAAAACAAGCTGAAAGGCCATACAAACCATTTCAGTACCTTGGCTTGAACAGAACCAGTCACAAGATGCTTGTTCATATTAATATTCATTTTCAGCAAGTCTTGCAGCTCCTCAAGATCAGTGACTATAACATCTGCCCTAAAAAACAACCTCGATTGAGGTACAGGCGCATGGCTGCACGCCGGTGACCTGATGCTGGGTGACCAGCGCCTTCCCGCCAGCTCTTACCCGAGAGTCGCAGCCATGAGCCCCACGGCCCCCGTGCCGGAGCCCAGCTCCAGCACCGAGCGCCGACTCAGCACGTGGGCCCCATCGCCAGAAAACCCCGGCGTCTCCAGGTATTTGGAAAGGACGATGGCGGCGTCCCACACAACACAACCCACGCCTCCGGAGCCGTACTGCTGCAGTCGAAGCACTGTCCCATCTCGCTTCTCCAGAACCCGCACAAAGCTCCACAGCGGGTCCTCCACCTCCGGCTCCATGGCGGCCGCCATCCCTGCCCCGGCCCGCCACAGGCTGCGGCACGTGGTGACGTCACGCCCACGCAAGACCACACCTCCCAGCGGCAAAGCGACTGGCCAAATCGCATGCGTGACTCTCAAAGCCCGGAAGGCGGCAGGAACCGGCGGAACCTACCTGGGAGTGGCCCAGCTGGCTGCTAGTTTGATTGGCTCTTTAAGAAGCAAAAGCAAACAACAGGGCTTTTACATAGCTGGAGAATGGCTCACACCGAGCTGTTGGTTATAGATCTAGGCAGTTACCCAGGTCTAAAAATGGTTACATTCAAGAAGTTTTCCTACTGTGCTTAAAAGTGGTGGCTGGGAATGTGTTACTTGCTTTTAATGATAAAGAAAAGTTAATACTCTTAACATTTACATCCCACCGGGCCAAAAGATGGCCAGCGATACCAAGGACCTGCAGATTGGCCCGACTTTCACATTGGATCTCTGGTATGCACACCACACACACACACACACACACACACACACACACACTAAATAGATATGTATTCATTCTATATTTTTTTCAGCTTTGTTGCTTTTTGTTTGTTTTCAGGATGGTCTCCCGTATCCCAAGTAGGTTCAAACATCATGTAGTTGAGTCTCGCCTTCAACTCCAGGTATTTAAGTCCTAACCTCCTAAAGTGCTGCGATTACAGGTGTTCACTATACCCAGATTCTCCCTGTTCTTTGTGATGAAAAAACAATATTGCAAATCTTTTAAAAATTAAGACTGAGGTGATTTATTAATCTTGTTAAGAACTCTGATACAAAGCACAGTAAAAGGCCACAGACCAGAAGATAAACAACGTGGCTTTTGGCTACTTTACAACGGCTGCTACTGCACTATCAGCATAACATACCTGGATCACTTTGAACGAGAGTATCCAAATGAGAAAAGCTTTATCCTGTCTGATTAAAAAATTTAATAAAGCTTTTTAAAGTATTTTCTGTTTAAATATTACTAATCTGGAAAAACTTCTTTAAAATTTCTGTTAACACGAGATTAAAGACAGTTAATAGGTTTGAAGACAAGGCAGATGGCAGTTGTTCTTATGCCATAAGAAACTTTTGTTCCAGACTTACAAATTAGTAAAATAGCAGATTGTATTATAGGCCTCAAGTCACTTACATTTATATAGGTTATTAGCATTATCTTTAAATATATACAATATAAATAAACTGTACATATATAGCATATTAATTTTGTTTTCCCAAATAATAGGCAAATCATTAGCTAAAGACACCATACACTGCAAAACAAAAGGCACATCTTAATGAGATACATGCCCTTCTTCTATAATTAGGTTATGTAGAATTGTTTATAATTTTAACAAAATAATAAACAGTGCATTCTATTTCATTCTATTTTCCATTTTTGTCTTCAGCAGCAAATACTGACATTTAAGACATGGCCTCAAAGGTTTAAGAACAGCAGGTATTATTCATAATTCTTCTAGATGTAAAAACCAAACAAAGTTAAAAGCTAGAAGAGGGTCAGAGGGTTAAACACCAGTAACACCACCACACATCCTCTGGATCTGCATAAATTCACTGCCCTAAAAAGGCATCTATCACTCAGGCTTGAGAATTCCCTCGAGCACTAGTCCCTCTCAGTGCAGTCAGAAATCATTCTGAGCCATATTTTAGCAGAGTCTACAGTGCAATACAGATTCATTATACTGGCCTGTGGGCAGCACTGAGGAGCTGATCAGGCAATGCTACTGATCATCTGAGAGCTACAGTGAAGAGCTTCTGCATTTTAATATTTCAAATTCTTTTCTTTCTTCCTTCCTTTTTTTTTTTTTTTGTTTGTGTTTTGACTTTTTGAGACAAGGTTTTTCTGTGTAGCCCTGGCTGTCCTGGAACTTGCTCTGTAGACCAGGCTGCCCTCAAACCCTGAAACCCACCTGTCTCTGTATCCCAAGTGCTGGGATTAGAGGTGTGCATCACTGCCATCCGACAATTTTATTAATTCTTAAAAGCTTATTTGATCAGTAGCATTTCTGTAAAAAGTACTAAAATACTATGTCTTTCTGAATAAATTAAAAACCTTTACAAATACTATTCCAGTGTCAATGACTACGTATGGCCAAGGTCATTGAGGAGTTTCTGCATTTTCAAGCAAAGGCAGTCTGTACAGTGGTGGGTGCGAAAGCTCCCGTTTGTAGGTCTTTGGTGGCAGTTTTGGTAAGTGGGGGCTTGAATTCTGCCTTGGTGGAACAGGAGGAGCTGCAGGATGAGCAAGATTGTTGTGACTGGAGCTGAGCAAATGGCATCTGCGTGGTATCCGTGGAGAGGGTGTGGTGGGAGGAGTGCTTGGTGAATTAGGACACGTACTAACGTCTCTGAGCCAGTCTGGGTCTCTGTGAGGATGTCCCAGTGGAGGTGGCTGAAGATTAAATGGACAGTTTATAAAGTGTTCCGGAGGACGAAGAGGAACTGGTGGAGGGGTATCAGGAAGAGGGTCTCTCGGAGGAGGTGGAGGTGGACTGGGCACAGGCCCATCAAATGTACCCATGAGGACAGGAACTCTTGGCTTTACCTTTGGAGGAGGGGGCTGTCTTGGTGGAATAGCAGGAGGGTCATCATCAGATTTCATAGCTCCCTAAACAGAATAGAAAAGGACATGTATAGTCTCTTGGGAAATGTACAAGCCACTTTAAAAAGACTGAAAAACTCTTCTGTGAAAAGTTAAATCTAGAGGCTCAAATTAAATCAATGCAGTTTAATTATCACGTTTCTGACTAAATTGCTTCCAGTTAAAATTCTAGGCTCAGTTTAACATTTGGATATTTAAGATGTCACCCCTGAAATCTTAATACATAGAGTTCCATATTGTCTTGCTTTGTTTCCAACATTCCAGAAATTTGTAAAGCTTATTTATAGCAACAGGTCAGTGAAAACAACAATTTTATAGATAGGAAAGGATATGTTATCAATGGCATTTAATACCTAACTTGTATTAACTGAACATCTACTTCTGTTTTCCCCATGATGATTAGAGCAGTGGATCTCAAAGTGTGATCCAGGGGGAAGCAGCATCAGCACCGCAGAAGATGCCATGGCATGGTGAGGCCCTGCTACAGCCTTACCCTAAGGCTGGCTCAGCAGCCCACTTTTAACAAGTTTCCCAGGTGATTCTGACATGCCCTTACATTTGAGAAGCACTCATCTAAAGTTTTCAGGTTCTTTCAAATAGGAATTCCACCCTCCTTCCCCAATCTGCATAAGAAAGACAATGTACTTCTGATTATCTGAAATTTTTCACTTTCTTTTTAAGTTTTCAAAAATTTATTAAACAATTACTTAAAGCATTTTTCAAACACAGCCATATAAATTTTAAAAAGTCGCAGAATGTGGCTAGATTATGACTGACACACTCTAAAACACAAGTGCTATTTTGAAGATTCACAACTTTGTATATGTTCAGGGAAACCCAGGTCCGGATGACTACCTTGGAATTTGGAGCATCATGATCAAATTTTTTTCGAGGGGGAAGCGGAGGAGGAATTAGTGGCTCTTCACTCAGTTTGTGTAAACTTCCACATGAGCTGAAGAAAGTCTCTGGAGGAGGAAAAGACTGGTTTACCATTCACAGTGCAGTTACAGGACAAAACTCCAATACAACTCATGACTACTTCTGCTACTGTATTTGTTGAATGTGTTCTTTCTCTCTCTTTGTTCTTCTGACCTCTCCAAGAATTCTAAGCTTTAGGGGACACTGTGCACATATGTCTGTAACCCTAGCATCTACCAGGGCAATTAGCATGTGGTAGTTGTAATATTTAAATGAAGGTGGCACATTTTTAAGATTAATAATGAAATTCTGATTTGGCCCTGATGGGGCAGGCCTGTAATCACAGGTACTAAGGCAGCAGGATCACAAAGTTCAAGGATAGCCTGGGAAACTCAGTGACTCTGTCTCAAAAAAAAAAAAGAGTTGAGGATGTACCTCAGTGGTGGAATGCCTGCCTAGCATGTGTGAGGCCCTAGGTTTGATGATTAGCACCTTAAAAACAAAACAGAAACCCTCCCCTCAACGTCCTTTAAAAACTAAAACAAAATAAAACTGAAAATGTGTGTATACATGTGCACTCATGTGTGCACTTGTATGGTGGTGTATTAGCTTCAGAGGAACACCATTCTGAGCAGAAACTATTTCTAATACAAAATAAGTCTAGTAACTATGCATAAGTAAGGAATCCACAATAAAAGTCTGTAATATAAATCATACTGAGGGACTCCACTGTATTTTAAGTGTGGTAATCTGATGGATTCCTTAGAAAATTAAAGTATCACAGCTATAACTAGTGAATAAATAATAAATACCAATATAGCAGTGCCAAAGCATTAGGACAGTTCACTGGTCAGCAAGTCCAGTCTAATCAGTGAGCTCCAAGCCAGTGAGAGATCCTGCTTCAAAAACAAGGGTGAACAGCTCTAAAGAAAGACACCTGAGGTTGACCTCTGACCTCTACATGCATGTGTACACATGTGCTCACACAAACATGCAGTTTGGGCACATGATAAATGTTTAGTACAATTGTCCCTTGGTATCTAACAACTAGGTCCATGATATTACATGACTGTAAGCATCCATCAATGCTTTAGTCTTTTAAATAAAATGGCAGAGCGTATATATAAATCCTATAACTTTAATTGTCAATAGACTTTACTTACCTTGCTTATCACAATGTAACCCTTATATAAATTATTGTTTAAAGAATGATGCCAAATAGCAAAGAGACTGCATGTTCAAGTACAGGTATAGGCACTGTTGGCCTAACCATGTTTTCAATCTATGGCTGGTTTAATACAGACTTTAAGAACTGATTATGTATCCTTTTTCAGGAGAAATTAGAAGGAGTAAAAAGTCAGGCAACTGAGATGAATTTACTCTACATTCCAGGCCAAGAAACATGCTAGGTGTTCTCTATAGTTACTTCATTTGATCCCTAATAGGTCTGAAGACTTATTCAAGTTCAAGTTGCTTAAGTTCAGACAAGATAAAAAATATATGTCAAAAG